ACCCTTTACTTCACCAAACATAATGTCCTTTTCTAACTATTGGTCTTTCCTGTTGATGTGTCCAAAGTAAGTGAGCCAAAGTCTCGCCATCCTCGCTTCTAACAAGCATTCTGGTTGAATTTTTCTTAATACCGATCTGTTCATTCTTCTGGAAATCCACGATATATTAACTATTTTCCCTCTACCTCTGTCTTATTAACTGTCCCTCTTAAAAAAACTTGTGATTGCATTTAGGGTCCACCGGGATAAACCAGAATAATCTTCCTCATCTGAAGATTCTTATCTTAATCACATCTGCCAAGAACCTTTTTCCATGTAAGGTAACATTGACAGTTTACAGGACTAGGACTTGGATTTCTTTTGAGGCGGGGAGGGCATTATTTAGCCTACCAAACCTATAATCAAAAGCCTTCATATACTGCTGGTGGCAATGTAATATGGTGCAGCCACTTTGGAAAACAGTCTGGTAGTTTCTCAAATGGTTAAACATAGAGTTACCAGAAGATCTAGCAATTCTACTTCTATATATATACCTAAAAGAAGTGAAAACATATGTGCACCCAAAAACTTGTACAAGAATGTTGATAGCAGCATTATTTATAATAGCCAAAAAGTGGAAACAATCCAAATCTCCAACAACTGATGAATGGATAAACAAGATGTGGTTTATCCATACTATACAATACTATTTGGCAATAAAAAGAAATGAAGTACTGATTCATGGCACAACATGGATGAACCTTGAAAACATGCTAAATGAAAGAAGCCGGTCACCAAGGACAATATATTATGATTCCATTTATATGGAATTTCCAGAATAGGCAAATCTATATGACCAGAAGTTAGATTTATGACTGCCTAGGGAGATGGGAGGAGGATGGAGAACTGGGGCATGATGGCTAAGGAGTGTGGGGTTTCTTTTTTGTCTTTGTTGAGAATATACACAGCAAAATATACACCAGTTCAACACTTTCTACACGTACAATTCAGTGACATTGATTACATTCTTCAAGTTGTGCGACCATTCTCACTCTCCTTTTCTGAGTTGTTCTTCCCCCATTAACATAAACTCACTGCCCCCTAAGTTTCCTGTCTAATCTTTCAAGTTGCTGTTATCAGTTTGATCCCATACAGATAGATCTTGAAAAAACACAATGCTAAAGGCAGACATTCTTTAGTAGTTAAGCTAAACTATTTTTGGTTTTAAGAAGATTCAGGAGATATTATTTGTTTAAGGTTAAAGATGATCTCAGGGCAAGAATTTCGGGGGTTCTCAAGGTTTCTTTCTGTGGTAAGGAAAATACTCTAAAATTAATTGTGGTGAGGGATATACAACTCTGAATATACTAAGAGCCATTGAATTGTACACTTTAAATAGGTGAATTGTATGGTATGTGAATTATATTTCAAAAAAAGTTGTTTAAAAAAGTGCATGAATTTAAAGGAGCCAAGGTGATGCAACGGTTTAGTGCTCAGCTGCTAACTGAAAAGTTGGCAGTTAGAACCCACCCAGCGGCTGTATGGGAGAAAAGACCTGGCACTCTATTCCCATAAAGATTACATCCTAGGAAACCCTATGGGGCAGTTCTACTCTGTCACTTTGGGTAGCTATGAGTCGAAAATTGACTCAACAGGATCAAACATCAACAACAACATGGGTTTAAAGACTCTAATTTCAAAATATTATCTGAATAGATGAATGCATAAACTAAATGTACATTGTTAAGAAAATAGACTAAATCCAATAGAAAGTATAGCCTCAGATTTTCACACTGATGCATCTGTATGTGGGCCAGGTAAGGACACAAGCTTCTAAATGGCTGTGGTAGCCAGTCTCCAAGTAGTCCCCAATGTTTCTTGTCTCCTGGCATTCATATTCTTGTGTAGCCCTTCCCAAATTGTGCCATGGTTGGTCTGTGTGAGCAATAGAATATGACAGAAATTATAGTACTTCACCCCCACAATTAAGTTATAAAACGTTTTGTGGCTTCCCTTTGAGTTTTTATACTTCCAATGGATAAAAGAAAATTTTAAAAAGTAAATTGCATTGTAGTATTTAGACTTCCCATTCTTTCATCCTTTTACCTTATTATTTGGCTATTTGGAGCAGAAATTCCAATAAGCTAATCAGGAGGCCTGGTGTTATGTAATCCTTATAACTGTTATTCACTGAGAGCCATTTAGAAAGCTTTGCCTAGAAATTCCATTCAATGGGCTATAATGATACATGGAAGACAATATAATAAAAGAGTAAAACCAGCTTCTATCATTACCATGCATGCTTATGCTGCTAAAATTATTGGGTTATCTTGTGTATTCTGAGACTAATACACCTATTATAATAGGTAGTGATATTGTATCTTTCATGATATACTTTCCCCAAGTAAGAAATTTGTGAAAGAGTTGGCTAACTTTGGAGGTATATTAACTACTTACATGTCCTCTCCCTTCTCCTCTGCCCCACCCAAGTCTACTTTCACAGTAACCTTACTACATAAAAGCTAAACAAGTGTTATTCAGAAGTACAACAAACAGTATTCACGTCAGTGACCATAATAACTCAAAATTATAGTATTTAAATTGTCAAAGGAGTTCCTGGTAAAGGAATGGCATAAGAAAGGTAAGGCTTACACAGTTTCAGATATTCATCAAAAATTAGTAAAAAAATGGACAAATGTTCATGTTACACGTTTGAATTTAGCCAAAGTCAATGGACTCTTAAAAGCACCTAGTTTGCACAGTTTGCTTACCGTCAGGTAAATGACCCAGAAAGAATGAATAGAGTGTGAATTGTTGTTGTTGTTAGCTGCCCTTGAGTCAGTCCCAACTCATGGTGACCTTACGCACAATGAGATTGGCCCATCTTAGTGTGGAAGCTCCGCTGCAACTTGTTCAGCATCATAGAACACACAAGCCTCCACTGACAGACAGGTGGTGGCCGCACATGAGGTGCATTGGCAGGAATCAAACCTGGGTCTCCCATATGAAAGGCGAAAATTCTAGCACTGAACTACCACTGCCCTTGAGTAATGAGTAACCACAGTGAATTTTCTTCCTTTTGGATGCCGTGACTCAAACATTAAAGGCAGATTCATTCTTTAACTCATCTAAAAAAATATTTAAGAGTACCTTGGAGCCCTAGTGGCACAATGGTTAAGAGCTTGGCTGCTAACCAAAATGTTGGCAGTTTGAATCCACCAGCCGCTCCTTGGAAACCGTATGGGGCAGTTCTCCTCTGTCCTATAGGGTCGCCATGAGTCGGAATCTACTCGACTGCAACGGAGTTTTATGGGTATCATGAGTGTATATACCTCAAATTTTGGCTCCTGTAACATTTATTTCCAAATTTTTAGCCATAACAGGATATACTCACAGGATTTCTCATTGAAAAATTTATTTTCATGAGTGTTATTAATGGCTTGGGTTAAATTACGTTATACATAAGCCTGATTGCATTTTTTCCCTAAGTGGGGAGTGATTAACTTTATATTTTAGGTCATACTAGTCTGTAAATAGCAGTTCATTTCTGTCTTCCAACATAAATGAAGGACTTAAAGACTGTTCTATGAGCCTTTCAGATGAAAAGATACTTCCAAATTTAGAAAAGAAATAGATGTATTCAGGCATTAAGAAATTTATTTCTAATAAGTAGGCTTGTTAAGTTTTAAAAGATATTTCTGCACTTTGTGTGTTATCCTGCACTTTTCCTTCAAACACTTACCAGTTTGTAACTACATATTTATTTGAATGATCATTGATTTATTGATAATTTCATCAGCTATATCGAAGGTCCTCCAGGATAAGGACTACACTCTGAAGCAAACCACTGGATCCTTGATGTTTACACAAGTTCCTGGTACATAGTTGGTGTTGAACAGATTTTGGTTGAGTGAATGAATGACCCTAAGAGTAGATATTATGGAAGAGCGTCAGTGATTCGGAAAGACTTATTCATAGTCTGGAATCAAGCCTCTAGCAAATTTCAAAAATGAAGGTAAAAATATAAATTCATTTGGGAGAGCCATTCCAAGTGTCTTCCTAGTCAAGATGCGCCCTTGGTTCTCAAGCCTGAGTATGTGAGTTAATACGTGCAAATGAGCTTGTTTTGCCCCTAACGCAGGTTACAAAGTCCACGCTATGACAGTGAGTCAGCCCTACCTACACTACAGACTCACCAATTACAGGGCAGCCTTTCAGACTTATCTCAAAGAGAATAGTGGCACAGAGAGTGTGTCCATCTAAGTCTGGCTATTTCTGCATGGCTGCACTGCTCTCCCATGGAAACTCAACTACTGACCAAGGCCTTACTCCAAGTAATGTTGTTGTTTTTGTTGTGTACCATCAAGTTGATTCCGACTCATAGTAACCCTATAGGACAGTGTAGAACTGCCCCATAGGGTTTCCTAAGCTGTAATCTTTACAGAAGCAGATTTCCAGGTCCTTTCTCCCACTGAGCAGTTGGTAGGTTCCAAGCACTGACCTTTCAGTTAGCAGCTGAGCACTTAACATTGTGCCACTAGGGCTCCTTCCCAAGTCATGTAGCATGCTTATGAAATTACCATTATAGAGAGAAGGTTCTGGATCAAGTGGATCATCGGCCACATCCAGAGAAGCTAAGGGCAAAAGGAGTTAGCAAAAAGGAGAAGGAGAAGAAAGGAATTCATGGATATCATGAGACATGGCAAAGGCCAAAGTAAAATTCATGGGTCATTTCCTTAGTGGGGTAAATCACTGGTAGTGTGAAGCTCAAGTCTCTATTCAACAAAGTGATTTAACTGAAATGATGTATTTAATGGATAACTTGTGATCCTATTATTAAGACTAGAAAACCCAGTAGGAGGGAAAGAGCCTCAGAGAAGAGTAATTTGTAGAAATACAGACAAATTTATGTTTCTGTTTGTTCTGTGTTAAATACCACTCCAACTCAACCAATAAAGTCCCCTTTATACATTTTCAATGACATTTTAAGATATGAGCAAAAATAAAAAATAGCAGCTTACCCACAACTCGTTCCATTTGTCACATACTGGTTGAGGGAGCTGTTGATCCATACTATGGTGTTATTTACACATTCTTTCCCAGGGGTCTTGAGTTCTTGTATTTCAATGTCATAGTCAATAAAAACATCTATCATTGTGCCAAAAACAAGTAGCAGGACGGGCTGGGCCATTCCATGGAGAAATGCAAATAAACTTCCCACAAACATCAGCCAAATGTCAGTCGATGAACAAAACCGAAACTTGAAAAACAAAAAGTTCAAAGATCATCTATGGGTAAAAAGCAGTAGAGGTAGGAGAACAATTTGATTTTAGTTACTAGAGTCTGATAAATAGTACCCAACATCAAATTTTATGGGAATCATCTTGACTGAACAGTAGAGTTCACAGTAATTAGATCAAAATTAACTGTATATCAATTATTATTTAAAACTTTAGATTCCTACATTATTAAAAATCAGTTGCCACTAGAGTTGATTCCAACTCATGGTGACCCCATGCATATCAGTGTAGAACTGTGCTCCATATGCTTTTCAGTGGCTGATTTTCTGGAAGTAGATTGCCAGGGCTTTCTTCCAAGGTGCCTCTTAGTAGACTCAAACCTCCAACCTCTCAGTTAGCAGCCAGGTGCATTAACCATTTGCACCACCCATGAACTCCTTTACATTATTAGTTTATGCTATTTCTTTCTGGTCCCTAAATTTGTTCCCTTTCCCTCGTGAGCGTAATTTAGTTCTTAGCTATTCGTTCACAACTTAAGGGGGAAATAATTCCTGTTGCAATGCTACTGCCAAGAGGATACACTCTGCAGGGAATTCAACAACAGCATAAATCGGGCTCACAGAACTGACATTGGCAATGAAGAGTGCCTATTTGTGCCTAAATACCTCTACCCTCTGCAAATTTGGGGAAAATACCTATACTATGAAATTTCTAAACACTTGTCATAAGAATAAATACACATGACATTGTTATTGTTATGATTTTCCTCGTTAAAATGATATTTTGGGGCTTAGTAATTGTTTTCCAGGACACTTTTCTGAATCTACCATGTAGGATTTGCGTGATTAATCAGCAACATAGTTCTAATCATTATTCAGCATGTTATCACATGGGCAAAGATTACAACTGAAAAAAGTAATCACACAGGCTAATATGACTAAATATTTAACACTTCCTTCAGGATCAGAACAAGTCACAGTTGCAAAATCGATGTCATAAATTAAAACCTTCATGGCCTACAGTGCTGCATGCCCAGGGCAGTTTATTACCAACTGAAAGAAGCCAACTTGAACCTTGCGACTTTTCTTCTCATCTTGTGACCTGAGGAGAAAAACAGGGATTTAAGAACGGTCCTGTCCAAAACATGAGTTCTCCCTAGCTGACGATTTTATGAGTCATTCTTTAGTACGGAAGAAAGCTCTCACTGGTTGAAAAATTCTTGCCAAGCCAAAACCAAACCAAACCCACTGCCGTTGAGTTAATTCCAACTCATAGCCACCCTAAAGGACAGGGTCGAACTGCCCCATAGGGTTTCCAAGGCTGTAATCTTTACAGAAGCAGACTACCACATCTTTCTCTTGCAGAGCAGCTGGTGGGTTTGAACTGCTAACCTTTTGGTTTGCAGCGAGCGCTTTAGCCACTATGCCACCAGGGCTCCTCTTGCCAAGCCAAGTATCTAAAGAGAACAAGCTTTTACTCTTCTAGATTAACCTCTTCTAGAGATTATAGTGGCGCAGTAGTTAAGAGCTCAGGTTGCTAACCAAAAGGTGAGCAGTTCGAATCCACCAGACACTGCTTGGAAACCCTATGGGGAAGCTCTTCTCCATCCTGTAAGGGCACTATGAGTCGGAATTGACTCAACGGCAATGGATTTGATTTTTTCTTTTTCTTTTTTTGGTTTGACCTTCTCAACTCCAGGGAGCTCCACTTCACCTAGTCACACACTCTGTGGACCTACCATCACCAGGAACTCTGTTGACACTCTGACTGTCCATGCATCTCATTTTCTCACTTCCTTCCTCGTTCCTCACCTATCTGTCTGCCTCAGTTGAGACCTGCAGATCCTTAAACCCTTCATTTACTTACAGTCCCACCAAGATTTTTCTTCCTTCCTCATTCATTCCATGCCCCACAGCCCAGCATTCAGACCACACTCTCAATCCCTTTCCCTTTTCCATGGAAACTCCATCTCTGCATCCTTCCAGCTGTTTGCCCCTCTAGCAGGGCTGCTAAGCCTGCTGAGAGAACCTCACCACCATGTGAACTGATGCCATAACATGTCATGTCTTTCACTCAATGCTCTGACTTCCCCTTTGAACTCAGAGTAGAATCCTTACTAAAACATCCCAGGCCATCATTGGTCTGGCCCCGTTAGCTCTCTGATTTCATCTCCAACTGCTCTGCTCCTTGTTCTCACCATTCCACTCACCTGGCCTTTTTGCTGATCTTTGTCTATATCAAATTTGTTCCCACCTCAGGGTTTTTGCACTGCTAGTCCCTTCTCCCAGAATGATCTGTCTTCAGATACCAAGGGCAGCTCCTTCCCCTCCTTCAGATCTTCAAGCAAAAGTCACCTTCTCAATGAAGTTTTCCCAGGCCAAAGTTTAAAATTTCAACACCCCCACCACCATTTCATATCTCTGTTTTCATGTTTACTTTTTCTTCTTGGAAGAAAGGACTGGCTATCTACTTCTGTAAGATTACAGTCATTGAAAACCCTATGGAATGCAGTCCTCCTTTGAAACATGTGGGATCACCATGAGTCGGAAACAACTCAATCGGCAATGGATTTACCATAACCTATTGCTGTTGAGTTGATTCCAACTCATAGCAACCCTGTAGGACAGAGTAGAACTGCCCCATAGAATTTCCAAGGCTGTAAATCTTTAGAGAAGCCAGCTCTCTTTCTCCGCAGAGCAGCTGGTGGGTTCAAACTACTGACCTTTCAGTAGGCAGCTGAGTGCTTAACCACTATGCCACCGGGACTAGTGGGTTTATCATACTATATATTTTATTTGTGTATGGTGTTTATTACGTCTCCCTTACTAAAATGTAAGCCCCTCAAGGGCAAAAATTTTTGCCTGTTTTGTTCTCTTCTATATCCTCAGCACCTATAATAGTGTCTGGCACCTAGTAGGCACTCAATTAACATTTATGAACTGAATGAATGAATGAGTGAGTGAATGTATGATCTCCAGCCTTAGCTCAAACCCTCTACACAGTACTTCTTTAGTCTACAGATCTCCCTCCCCCCCATTTCCCTCAGCAGCTTTGTCAAACTTGCACCATGATCTTCTCATTCTATGTTACTGCATCTACCAGGAATAGATTAGATTCATCTCAAAACAAAAGAACTCATTCAGCTTCCTGCTCATCCTCTCACTTCCTGCTCATCCTCTCATTGCCATTCATCTGCATCCACACGCATTCTCATCTCCTTCCCACCCAGGCCCAGGCTGACCCTACCACACCTAATCCAAAGGTAACTTCACTCAACCTACCTCCTCCCCTTTCATGAATTATTCACAATTTCTTAAATTACTTCAACCCCTCCCTTCCCACCACCTCCGTTTCCAGAATTCACCTGGTGCCTCCCTTCTGTCTTCTAAAGTAGATCCCATTTAATCCTGCTTTCATACCTAAGTGTAACAAACTGACATTTGTTTGTTTTATATCAGAATTCAAACTCTTAAACAAAAGAGAAATATCTAATAATTTAATTTTAAGTTTCTACTATTTGCCTGGGGGGTTCTGGGGCCTCCCCTGTTTCCATGAAATCATACTTGTAGTCCACTTTCCTTCTGTTCTAATAGGGCAGGAATTCTGTTGTGTTCCTGGATGCCCAGGGGAAATTTGGAGCTAATGAGGAAGGGATATTCCAAAAGGTTTTTGAAATCTAATTATAGTCATGCATTAAAGAAGAAAAGAGTGGATTATATGGGATTTTATTTACTATTTTATAGGATGTGCAATGTGTATGAAAATATTGTCCTTGTTCTTTTTTTAGAATATTATTCAGTTATTTCTAGAAAAGATGCTGCATTGTTGAAACACTCAATCACTTACCTTGATTTCTTATCATCGTTATCTGTCAGAATAGAAACAATGCATAAAGTAGTTAATAATAATAATAAAATGCAACATAATAATTAGTAGTATTGCTTTTGAAAAACAGTCCTATAAAATATTTTTGTACATGAAACATTGCAAAATGATTATTTGCTCTTTCTCTTTTCTTGGTGTTTCTCTCTCTCTGCGCATATTATAGAAGAAGATATGCTTTAACATTCAGGACTGCTGCCTCAGCTACATTTCTGGACTTTGCCCCAGGACATGAAATATTTGTACCTTCTGAATATTGGAGACCAATATTTCCAATTTAGCTAAAGAAACTTGATTTTTTTCAACTATAAAATAATACAAATATTTATTGTTTTGTTCTTTAGAAACATCACTATTTATCTACTTATAATATAGACCACAAATTAATTAACTAGGCAAAAAGATCTTATTGACACTTCCATACCAGTAGAAGCCATAGAATTCAGCCACATATTATTATCCCCAATGTAGGGCAGAGCAAATGCAGAGGTAGGAGATGGAAGTAGGGGTTCTGGGTCATGGGTATAAGGAAGTGACAGGGAAAAGACCTTTAAGGTGTTTACATCATCCATCACCATGGGCAATTCTTCCTGGTTTCCCTGGCATTTTAATTTACCATGTGGCGTAAGAGTAAAGAGGCATTATAGAGCAGATGGAGTCCCTGGTTGGTGCAGTTTACACACTTGGCTGCTAAGAAAAAGATTGGCAATTCAAGTTCACCATGAGCTGCCTTGGAAGAAAGTCCTGGTGATCTACTTCCAAAAAAATCATCCATTGAAAACCCTATGAAGCACAATTCTACTCTGATACACTTGGGGTCATCAGGAGTCAGAATCAACTCAACGACGGCTGACTTTTTATAGTGCAGATAGAGGTTAATATCTTGGGCTTGAGAATCAGACAGACTAGATTAGAATTCTGGCTTCATTATTAGTCATATGACTGTTGCCAAGGTGTTTAACATATCTAAGTCTTGGTTTCTGTTTCATCATTGGTAAAATATAAAATCATTAGGATTAAAAAATAGTAAGAGTTTAGAATCATCTGTACTCACTACAGGCCAAATATTAGTGCCATAGGCCCCTTTCCATGTTATCTTATTCCAGCCAGCAGAGCCTTGGTGCAGTTCCTCTCGGGGAGCTGTGACTCCTAAATGATTGCTCTGTCACTACTGTGATCAATAACCACAACCTTCGGTCGCTATGAGTCGGAATCAACTCCAGGGCATACAACAACAACACGACTAAAGTTAATGCTACTAGCCAGTGCTGGAACAACCCTACTCCACACAGGCAAGAGATGTGCATAGGCTTCAACTCAGTTTTTACTTATCCACCTTTTTGCATTCAGACCTAATACTTTCAGGCATTGCATTACATGGATTCTCGGGAGGACGACACAGTTGTATGTAAGAATCATGTCCATATTGTTGCTTGAAACTTTACTAGCTCATCCTGCTTTTTGCTCTCACTTCTCTTTGTACAAGAGACAGAGAAAAAACCACCTACATGATCCATCTGACTCGAAACCATTATTCTCCTCTCCAAATTTCTTCACACTGCGGAGAATTACTGAGTCAGACATAGTAATTGTAATCTGTAGCCAACCACCCTGTAAAATAAAATAAAAGAATCATTGCAATTATTATCTCTTTTCTGTAATCAAAGTATACAAATGCAAGAACAATTTGGTTCAAGAAATAACCTTCACTAATCAAGCTCAGACAAAAGTAGATTTTTATTTGGTTAATTAGTCCATGAAGGAGCCTAATTATTAGAAAGGATAAATCCAAACCACGGATTATGGTTTTCTCTGGTTGTTGAATGGATGGTTTCTTTTTATTTATTTTTTCTTTCTGCTTCTCTGTGCTTTAATATTTATTTATTTGTTTATTTATTTATTGAATGAAGATAGAAACAATGAGAAGTGCATAGCAACTGGTGACCTTCTTGGGTCAGTGTATTTGAGAATTGGGATCTAACAACACCCAAATACTGGTGAGCAGCCTTCAGTGCTCCATTGTAAATGCAAACCCAAGGTTCAGGACATGGTGAGCCCAGCTGAGACCAAGGGAACTAACAAGAGACATTCTCTGAATAAAATATAAATGTCTGTCACAGAGTTATGGTTAGTCTTATTCACAGTGGAAAAATCAGTCTGTAAAGAGTGGAAGATTAGAATTTCAGCAGAGTTTATGCTTCATTAACTTCCTTTGCTCCAAACAGAGCTACAATAGATAACATGTTAAAAAAAAAAAAAAAGAAGAAGAAGAAGAAGGAAAGGCAGAAAGGATCTACAGCCAGGCTCAAATAAATAAAGGTAAACATCTCCATGAACGGAAATGGAAGAATGCCCTGAGTTAAGCAGAGCACAAAAGCTGCTGGTGTTTGGACCTAGGGGTCTGGAGCCAGAGAGGCAGTGTGAGAGTTCAGCTCCTGAAAGGACAAAAAGTGTCCTGTGTGAAACGGGATTAGAGATCACCTTTCTGTTTGAATCCAGGGGCTAGCTGGGCCTCCTGCACTGAGAGAACCCTGAAAAAAACTAACTCTCATCATTGCCTGGGATTATTTCTTATGGTGAACTGCAGACCCAGGGAGGTTACAGGGAGAGAGAGAAGATATAAAGAGTGAATATAGAGAGAGAGTGAGTATATATATATATACACCTGTTAAAAAATCTGTTGCGGTCGCGTGGATTCCGACTCATAGCGACCCTATAAGACAGAGTAGAACTGCCCCGTAGGGTTTCCAAGGAGAGGCTGGTGGATTCAAACTGCCAACCTTTTGCTTAGCAGCCGTAACTCTTAACCACTCGACCTCTATATATATAGTATAATATAATAGGTGCCTGGACGGTGCAAGAGGTTTGCGATTTGCTGCTAACCTAAAGGTCGGCAGTTTGAATCCACTCAGCCACTCCACAGAAAAAGACCTGGCGAGCTGCTTCCGTAAAGAATGCAGCCAAGAAAACCTTATGGAGCAGTTCTACTCTGTAACACATGGGGATGCCACGAGTTGGAATTGATTTACTGCAATGGGTTTTTTATAGTTTAATATAATATAAAATGAAGGTAGAGTGAAAGGCTTCTAACTCATCTAACTGGAATCCCAGAAAATAGAATGGAAAATGACAGATATGTAATAATTAAAGAGATAATTGCTAAGAATTTTCCAGAAGTAAAGACCTGATTTCTCCAATTAGCAGTAGACTCTAAGAACTGCTCAGAATGAACAAAAATAAATCAAAATTTAAATATATCATACTGAAATAACAAAACATCATGGATATATATATATATATATATCTTAAAAGCTATGAAAGGGAGAAATACATTATCCACATGGAAATAACAGACTAACAGTAGTTTTCTCATCGGCAGTAGAAGCTAGAAGGCAGTGAAATAATGTCTTTAAATGGTAAGGAAAAATAACCTTTAACTTAGAATTTTATACCAAGCCAAAGAATCATTCAACACAACTTCAGACATTCAAAGCCAAGAGTTGACACCCACAGATCTGTACAAAGCAACTATTAGAGGACAGGGCAAGAAGGAAAGAGTGACCAGAAAGGAGTCATGGAAGAGAGAAACAAGAGGGAACACAAAAATTAACAAAATCTATCAGGGCAGTTAATAACATAATGATATTAAAAATAACTTTTTAGATTTAAAAAAGTCAAAACTAAACTCTGTCTAAAATTAGATTATGGTAATGGTTGTACAACCCTAGAAATATACTAAAAAATTGAATTGTACACTTTAAACAGGTGAAGTTTGTGTATGTAGATTATACCTCAACAAAGCTGTTAAAAACAGAAAGATCATTTTACTGAATTTTTAGAAGTCCAGATATATGATTATAAAAGACATATAAAATCATAAGGAACAATTTGAAATTGAGTAATTTTTTAAAAAGACATATCATGCAAATGCTGATTTTTCAAAGCTGTGACAAACAATATTAATGCTAGAAAATATAGAATCTATGCCCAAAGCAGTAATGGAGATAAACAGGGACACTATGTAGTAATGAAAGGTGCAATCCACCAAAAAGACATGATTAAATATATCTAATAATCTAACATAACAGTATAGTCCACAATCGTAATGGAAGGCTTAAACATATCTCTATTAGAAACTGATATACCAAGCAGACAAATAATTAGGATGTACTTCAGGAAAACTGAATAAAAGAAAAACAGGTCAGGGTGAGCTTAGGTCTCTCAGGAGCCGAGATCTTCCCAGGCTGAGGATGCTACTACAATAGGGGCATTCGCTCACTGCTTCTTTTTGCAAATAAAGTTTTATTGGAACACAGCTGTCATGGATTGAATTGTGTCCCCCAAAAATATGTGTCAACTTGGTTAGGCCATGATTCCCAATATCGTGCAGTTGTCCTCCATTTTGTGATCTTCCTGTGTGTTATAAATCATAACCTCTGCCTGTGGTTAAAGAGGATTAGGGTGGGATGTAACACCCTTGCTCAGGTTGAATCCCTGATCTGATGCGAAGGGAGTTTCCCTGGGGTATGGCCTGCACAACCTTTTATCTTACAAGAGATAAAAGGAAAGGGAAGTAAGCAGAGAGTTGGGGACCTCATACCACCAAGAAAGCAGCACCGGGAGCAGAGCGCTTCCTTTGGACTCAGGGTCCTTGTCCCTGAGAAACTCCTCGACAAGGGGAAGATTGAGGACAAGGACCTTCTTCCAGAGCCGACACAGAGAGAAAGCCTTCCCCTGGAGCTGATGCCCTGAATTTAGACTTTTAGCCTACTTTACAGTGAGGAAATAAATTTCTCTTTGTTAGAGCCATCCACTTGTGGTATTTCTATTACAGCAGCACTAGATAACTAAGACAACAGCCATGCACTTCTGTTTATGTATTGTTAATGACTGCTTTCACACAGCAATGGTGGAGTTAAGTAGTTGTAACAGGGACTTATGGCCCCCAAAGCCTAAAATATTTACTCTCTAGCCCTTTACAGAAAAAGTACGCTGACCACTGTACCATCAGGTCAGCTCAAGACAACCTAACACCCAGGGAGAAATCCTCAAGGACCTGATTTACCCAACCTAAAAATCCTACAGAGCACCCGCTGTCCAACCAGACATTTTCACTACCCTCCTGGAGCTTATACTGTGACAGAGAAGACAGGTGATACACCAGTTACAAACTTGGTGACTGTGACTAAACGGGAAGTGTGGGGATCTGGTGGACCTCAAGCAGAGGACCTGCCCTTGTCTCGAGAGAAGGGGAAGCACATTTATCATGAGACCTTGAAGATGAGGGCAAGTTAGCCAAGGGGAAGAGTATTGCAGGCAGAAATGAGCACGTGCAAAGACCCAGATCTGAGAGACAGCACAGCAGGTGCAAGGACCAAAGGGCTGTCCAATGAGTGTGGGGCAAAGTGGATGGGATGACTCTGGACATTTGACTGGTTGATTCCTCAGGGAATCTTAGCATGGAGGTAAACAGGTAATTCTTAGCATGGAGGACTTGGGACTTAATTCTAAGGGCAATGGGACACTAATAAAGGCTTTTAAGTAAGAAAAGCATATGATCAAATTTACATTTTAAAAAACTCCACTCTGATAAGGGAGACTTGGGAATCCACACTCACGGAGACTAGGAAATGGGCTTGGGAAGGACAGAATCCCCCTGACCAAGAAGTGAAGCTCCTTATATCTACCGACACCAGGGGTGTGTGTAACTCATCTAACCCCCAGGCAGGTAGGCCTGAGGTAATGAAAGAAACAGGGCAGTGTGAAGCGCTCTTGTCACTGTAGGAGATGTATCTGGAGTCTGTCAGGGTCCCCAGTTTTGAATTTTCTCTGGGGAGATTTGTTCTGCTTTCAATTTGATTTCTTCCCAAGTACTATTTTTAAAACATCTTTATCTCATCTAGGCTGAATTCAGGAAGAGGTTTTTACATATCCAGGTCGAGGACATAAATGCCCTAGAAGCCACCAGGGAGTGAGGAGGAGGAGGAGACAGGAGCAGGCGTGGGGGCATAGAGGTCAGGAGTAATGGCTGAGCTGTTTCCCCGCTTCCCTGCAACTGTAAATGCTCTGATCATACGAGGGCACCTCCTTGGTATTTCTCTTGTGATGTCTTCCCCTCTGTAAAACCTTTCAAGGCCACCAGCACCACAAACTCCCCCTCACTGAGCTACTCAAAGAGAACCATAGAATTGCTTCTGTTCCTCTTGAATTTAGAAGTCACTTTCTAAGCCCCAAGTTCTGATTTTTTTAAAAAGTCCTTAAAATATCTTCCACTTCTGACATTTAAAGATGTAGGTAGGGCACTTTTGTTATAATCAAACCCAGCAAAATGATTTCTTTCTCCCAAAGATCATTAGAAGAGGAAAGAAATACTAATTTATGCTAAGAAGCAAGAAAAAATAGAAAAATATTAGCTTGCAGATAAGTAGATTGTGGGTTGATGGCATATGAGAGACAAAATGCAGGATACACTGTGCAGGGGCAGAATAAAATGGGGTCCCTTTAGCTAGACTACCATCCTAAAGGTTGGTGGTTCAAACCCACTGGAAACTCTGGTGACCTGCTTCTGTAAAAGATTACAGCCAAGAAAACCCTAGGGAGAAGCTCTACTC